TTATGAATACATTAAACCCTAATTTTAGTCCCTCAATTTTGGTATACTCATAATTTGGCTCATAAATTAAACAAATTCTTGTTTTGGTCCCTAACGTTTTGAATTTTGGCTATTTTTGTCTCAAACCAATAATTTATTTAGTTTAGATACTAAATTAGGGGTTCATATAAAAGCACAAGGACCAAATTTATAGTTAAGCCTAACGGTAATTTTGTGGTTAAATAAGCTTTTAAAGCTAATATGAATAATAAAATTTGTTCACATCATCAATTTTTGCCATGTGAAATTTCACGTCATTATTTGAAGGGAAAAAAAAAACTAGTTTTGATGTCAATTAGCATGCTTTGTAAGCTAAAATTCAAGGAAAGGACAAAATGAGCTAGAAATTAAAACTTTAAAGAATAAAATAAAGATTTATTTAGTTTAAAGACCAAATTATAGGTCTATATCAAAGTTGAGGCACTAAATTGAGGTTTAACATTTTTGACACTCTTTTGCTCGACAAAGCTTTCTCTTTGACCCTTTTGACCACGGTCTTTTTTCCTGTAGAAATTCTAAGGTGCCACATGAATATGTTAATGTTACATAAGTAGCATATCAAAAAAAACAAAAAATTTATTTTTCAGTTTAAATTACATAAAAAAAATATAGTTTAAATTATGAATTTATCAAAATATCATTAATGAGACTTTTTTATGCTAACTTATTAAGGGGAAAAAAAACTAAGATTCTCATAAAAATTAATACATTATAAATCCTAACATGACATACGAAAAAAGTTTATAATTTAGTATGACACATTAGCATGAAATGTAGATGTTTCTTAAGTGCAATTTTTTATAAGTTGAAATATTTTTGTTTAAAATATCATATCACAAGTATTTTTGTAATACAACATAATTCTATTTTGAAGCAAGCATGAACATAGAAGAAAAGGAGGGCTGAAATGAGTCCTTTTGCAATGGAACAAAATGGATAAGAATTGTATTCTCAATTCGTACTCTGAGTCACAAATTGGGTAGGGAAAATGAAGTGACTTATATGGGCAAGTTCAAGGATCCAAGAAAATAAGTGGAGGAGGTTTGTTAGCTAGTCAGGATTCTTATTATTCTTCCCACTCCTTAAGAACAATTAATATATGACACTACTGATAATAATCTAATGCATGCATTTCTTAGTTTAAACACTCGAGTTTTTTCTAAAGCAAAATAAGTTCCCTTGTCATCTCCACTTTTTAAAAGTGGGATTGAGGGAAATCATTGAAATGAACCATTCATCATCTCAAAAGTAAAACAAAAAAGGAGTCAAATTACATGTCTTTTGTCATTTACTAATTATTATTTTCGTATTGCAAGTTATGGTACTGTGACTTTACAGCCAACTTCAGCATAAACTATGACAACTAATTTCACAGATTCACCGTCACTCGTAAGCAGCTCCTGCAGAAGGTAACTCGCAATAGTATGCAATTTGGTCCCATATATGTATGGAAATGTTTAATGTTGTGTGCATGAAACTAACCATTGAATGGAACTAGCCCTCTAAATTTTAATAATGAGGTTTTACATGTCTCCAATCTAATAGTTCCTGACTTATATTTTAATGTAATTTAGATTGTAAAAAAAATAGAACTTTTAAATATAATATACTAAATAACATGAGGAAAAAGGAACTTTGACAAATAAAAAAGAATTAGGATAAATTATGGTCAAAATTTTATATAAAAAATGTGTGTAAATTGATTTTAATTTGATAAAAAAATATTTGTTTTTTATTTAGTATTTGTTATGGATTGCAAATAAAACTTATGGGTATATAATGATACTAGAAATTTCCTTGTTCTGTTAAAAAAAAAAAAAAGAGATGAATTCCTGAATTCAATATTTAATCTCCTTTTATGTCCTAACAAGTGTTTGTTGATGATGCAGGGAATGATGCTCAGTGGAGTGACGGAAAGGTTGATGCTTTCATCTTGCACACACGTTTACACAACTCCAAAGGGACTTTCCCAAGTACTAGGCAGCCAGGCATCCATATATGTTTCTTCAATATTGATCGAGAGAATTGATTGATATAGTGAACAATCCAAAATTAGTATATACTTTTAGTATTTTTTATATTTATAGCCAGGATATTTTCAAATTAATTTTTGCACATTCTCTTTTAAATGATTATAAGAGTATACTACTCATATTAGCTTATTGCATTTAAAAAAATTATTTTTTTTAGTGTTAATTTCAAATTTTAAATTTAATTTGTATATGTCCTACAAAACAATATTTATTTATTAGTGAAATCAAAATTAATTAATCCAATATCTAAATTAAATTAAAATAATTAAAGAAACCAAATAGGATGGTTAATTTTATTTGTAAGTCATATAATGGATCACTTATGGAACCATTGTTTTGTTGTTTTTATTTTATTTTATTTTATGGGCAAGGACTTATATGGAACCATTTTAAATGCATACATAATATATCTAGCTAATTACGGCGATTTTATTTGCTGCTCTTTCCACTTCCGTGGAGATCAGAAAAGTAACCTTGAGGGTTGATCTGAAAACTACCCTAGAGATTTAGGATGAGCCACTAGTGCCATAACAGGGGCGACCATCATGTCAGAACCTCCACCTTTTGATGAGGGTTCTCCGGCTCCCCCCCTAAAAAAAAATAATTTAACAATAATTTTTTTGTATTTTTTTATATATAGTTGTACATATCATGTAAATAATTAATTTTTTTATATATTTAAAATTTATAATATTAAATATATATTTATTTAATAATATATAAAAATTATATAAAAAATAATATAAATAGGTTGTCCTTACATCAATACCCATATATATGTTGTGAATGAGAATTGTAAATAGATAATATTGATTAGGTACAAATTTATGTGATGGAAACAAATAATGGAAAAAATCTGAGTTGTGCTTAATTGGTAATAGAATTCACTTTTCACTTATTGATTAAAATTTGATTTTTTAAAAGATTAATAAAAAAATAATTCTTTATAAATTTTTTAGTTTTGGTATGAATAATTTATTTTTGATTAGATTGAGCAAAAATTAATCTCGAAAAATATATATAAATTGGTCAAAAGACACTCTAATAAAATAATTGAAAAATGGTTTGTATTTATAGTAATAGGAATTACATTGATCTACTAAGAGGTCTTTAAATAATTAAGGGGGTGGTTTTCATGGATTAATGTAATGCCTAGGCTTAGCAGTTAGCAGCTTGATACCTTTTCCTAAAATTGAAAAGGGATGGATGCTGGTCTGGATTTATGGAAAATCATCCTGCAAGTTAATTAATTAGGCAGCAGCACATTGACCCTTTTTTACTTCCAATTTACAAACTAGACTGGGCCTCAGCCCCAAAC